GCAATTTGATGGTATCACAAGTTAGGCCAACAGATAGTGCTGACCAATCTCAAGGGCTAATACAGAGAAACACTGATGTCTTCTGCATGATGTAACTACCAGATCAGTGCACCCTTTGTGGACTACACAGAACCTGAGTGGGAAAGAACCTTTGCTTCCTGGAGGCCTTGATTTGATAGTGTGATGGAAAATGAAATATGGTTGGGCTGAAACGTGCAGCTCTGTGCAAAGTTGTGTCCTCTGCTGTTACCTTTGAAACCCGAGTTTAGTGACTGCTCCATGTTTGCTGTTCTTACTGTGTCGATCAAGTGCTCCAGAAGTCAAGCTAGATCTCTGTCAGGTTCATCTGAGCTATAAAACAGTACATGAGGCTTGGAGGAGGTCAAAGGCTGTTGTAATGGGGGAGCCAGACTCTGTGTGCAAACCAAATCCACCCAGAGCTTCTTAGTCCTAGCAAAGTGAAATGGGAAGATGCACCTATATTTTCCCTATTCCTCTTAATTCTGCAATCCACTATCCTTAGTGTTATGCTTTTTAAAAATGGCACATAGAGTTCTAGTAGCCAGATGGAAAGTTAATTTCACCTGCTTGATATTGCTGACCAAACAATGCAGTAGATTTGGTCAGTATTAACTAAAATAAGAGGGATAGAGCATCCTAGCTTTGGGATGTTTGGGATGAAAAATACCATATCATTACTAAGAGATGTTGCAAATATGAAGTTTCTCTAAGAATCTAAGTAAAATCAACTGTCCCCTAATGCTTTTGCTGGTATATGACCAAGTATATGGACTTATTACATGCAAAAAAAAAAGGAGAGAGACAGGACCAAACAGCTGTGGGAATAACTAATCCACATTGTATCCATGTTCCCAGTGAAAGTAATAATGTTCTTGCTTACATGAACTCTCCCCATTGCTTGTTTCCCTAAGATCCCTGGAGACTAGTGATGTGGGTGGAGTGCACAGGACATGAAGTAAAAATACTGTGAGATAAACCTGTCCAAAAAGGAGTCTAATCTCCTAAAGAGACAATGGTTATCATATAGCCATGGGCTACTCATTAACTCATGGTTCCTAAAACAAATATTATTTTAGAGTGACAGTGAGCTACTAACTAATTTTTAATCTCATTTTGGATTTGTTTTTCTTGCACCCTTTTTTTGGAGTTTAGTCGTAAAATGACAACGTGAGTGTCACAGCAGGCACTGTCTCAGACCTTGAAAGAATGAATTCTCCAATGTGCTTTTGTTACAAAATCAAATACAGAAAAACTTCAGATTAACTAGGTTTCAATAAATACTTTTCCTGCTTCATCATATGGAAAAATAACATCAAGTTCAAAAATGAGGGGAGTATAAGGCAAAAGTGGGTTTAAAGACAATTGACTTGCCAGCATATTTGACGATAAAGCACAATTTTGGTGTATTGCATAACAATAGAAGGTTGGAATACTAATAAATGGGAAGAATTTTTGTATACAGCCCATAGTTGAGCTGAGGATTTAAATTGCATGATTCGCTAAGGTAAATAATATGGTTCTGTAAAGATTAACCACATTAGCAAGGGTACCAGCTAGGATAATATTGGTTTTCAGTCCATTCATCAAAGCTGAACAGTCAGAGTCGGGAAGGAATTCCTCTTGGGATATGGTGTTGGGCAATTAGCTGCGTTTTCAGAGATTTATGTAGTCTTTCTGAATCATTTCAGTGTTGGCCATTATCAAAAATGGAATATTGGTCTTGGTAGGCTTTTGTTTCGCATTATGATAGTCCTGTGATGCAGAGGTAGATATCCAGAAGGTATTTACTTAACAGCACAGTAAAGCTTCATCTTTTGTTTGCAAATACCTCCCCTTTCAACGTACAGGAAGTTGAAAGACTTCACAAAAATCTGATTGTTACAGTTGGACAAAAATATAACTCTCTCCTAAAATACCTCTTGTAGCACTCATTTCCGATATCTGTTTCTTCTTGCAAAAGTACTGAATGTATTAGCTGGTGATTCAGTTTTGAGTTTGGAAAACTTTAGGAATGGAAGCTAATGGAGTGCTTTTCCTCATAATTTTTTGTGCATTTGAGCTATTTGTGCATTTGAGCTATTTGTGCATTTTTGCCTCCAAGTGTTTTAAATTAATACTTTTTTGAGGAAGGTGATTTTTTTTCAGATCTATTATTCATGAAATCAGCTGTCTTCTTAGCATGTTTCATTCTTCCATTAGTTTAGAGGCCCTGAACGGTGGTATGTGGTTCTGAAGGATGACAGAAGTCACTCTCTTTCTGGTATTTACTGTTCCCTATTGTTGAAATGTCACCTTTGGGACTGTGACTGTCATTAGATATATGTTAATCCTTCTAGTAACTTTTAATGATCTTGATAATGCAATGATAATGAGGGGAAAAGATGGAATTGGTTGCTGGGGAGAAGATTTGAAATTCTATGGACTTCAAAGTACCCCAGGATATTGATACTGAATCATGGTGGTGCTCTTTCTTTTATTTCCAGTTTTCTAGAGGTGAAAATACACCACCTTTTTTCTTTCTTCCCCAGAAAAAGGTAGGAATTAAGGGGGAGTCTGTTTTGTCATCATAAAGAATAGAATGTAAATTTGAAAACAAGACCACTTGGCTCTATATATGAGTTGTATTATTGATCTCCTGTTGTTTCTCTAATCTATACTTGCATTATTTTTTTTTTTTATGTTAGGTTTTTCTTGAAAACGTCTGCTTGGGTTGGGGATGTGTTTTCAGAGATGCCACATCGTACATTGGCCTTGGTCTTCTTGAATCTGTAGTGCTTCCTGAACAGTTTAAATGCTTGAAACTTACTTATTCCTCTTAGCTTAAGTGTTTTAAGTTTATGTAAACTTTTGTCACAATCTGAAGAGTTGTTTTCAGTCTGGTAGTTTTGTTGTGACTAAAACAAAATGGTGCACGTTAAGTCACAGTTTGCTAAAGTAGTTCAGTAGGAATTACTATAGTGTCTGGAAATAGGAAACAAAAAGATCATGGATTGAAGGTGCCTTCCCTAAACGTAATTGCCATTTAAAATTATGTAAATGCTGAATTGAAATTTCTTCTGACAGAATGCTTGGGGTGAGGATTTGTGATAGAATAATTTCTTTTTCTCCTTAGGTGAGTGCTTTTGTTGTTGGTGGGCTTTTTTGGTGTTCGTGTGTGCACAAGAGAGATCTCAGTATGTGTTCTAAATACATTCTGCATTTCTAAAGTTCTATGGTTAGTAGACACTGGCTTAATAATCCCAGCTTTATTTATGTAGTATAAATAGAGGAGAAAAGTCTTGATCGGGAGACATGCAAATGCTAAGTATGTAGAAGAAGAAGATATGATCCTGATGGGTACTGCAAGGAGTGATATTTAACCAAGCCAGTAAAAACAGCTGATCAGTTGAATACTACCTCTGATTTGTTGGTATCATGCTGAGAATAAATCAGGTTTGTGTAGTGACTGGAAATGACCCTTTTGTATTCCTTGGAACTGTTTACGCTTTAGGCTTTTGAAAACCCACTGCTCTTCCCTGGCTTCCTTTAGTAGGTTTTAAATCAAATTGTTACAAAAATATCATGTACAGGTTATTGTCCATGTATACTTCATGAGAATTAGCATTGGTTTAGCTAATTCAGTTCAAAGGATAACTAAAGTATGTGTGACAGTGTCCAACATTTGAGTCTTGTAACTCAGTGCTTCCTGGTGAGATTCCATTTCCTTTAAGATACAGTAGAACTTGACTCATTCAGGTATTGCATTCTCCAAAATATGTTGGGGATGACCTCATCCCACGCCAAGGGAGCAAATAAGGCTATAGCAGCTCTTGTGAGCCTTTATTATGAAAAGGTGGGCAGATTTTATCAGTACTGTCTCCTTTGCCCTTTTTCCTCTAGAAGATATAGCTTTTACCAAAACAAGTCAGTGAAGAAGTTGCTGATAAATACTTAAGATAATTTTGAAAATAGTTCACATCTGGGAGTGGAAGGGAAACAAAGGAAAGTTAAACATGCAGTGCCTGCTCCCTCAGATGCACTGTGGCAGCAGCACGTTTGTAACCACCCTGATAGACTTCAGTATGTTACACCCTGTCCAAAGAAAAGCTATCTGGATTTCTAACATGGCTGTGTAGAAGCAGGAGGTTCCCTTTTTGTAGGGCAGAACCACTTCTTTCTATTGCTCCAGTTTCTCCCTCCAGAGTACAGCATTCCTCTTGCTACACCTTGCAATAATAATAAACAGAACTGACATATGCATGAACTATGAATGTTTCTGAAGACTGATTGTCTTAAAAAAACCCCAACAAGTAATGACATTGATACTTTATGTTGATCCATGTTAGACTGCAGGTGTGACTATTCTCAGTGTTTGGGATGCTGCTGTCAATAAATCCATGTTCAAAAATGGAAATGATTGTCTGTATGCCACAGTAGCCTCTACTTGCTTTAATTCTCAATACTGTACCTTTGAGAGAGATATTTTTACCAGTATCTGACAAGTGAATAAAAATTTCTTCTGTGTCATTGTCATAGCTTCTTTGTCATTGCTTGATATTATGAGAACAAAAGAAAGCTGGGGACCCTAGTGAGAATGTTAGAGAGGGATTAACAGAGCCTTGTAGCTATGGAGTTAAGCTGGGCTTCTGTTTTCACTGCCAGTGACATCTTGATTTATGCATACTGGGGATGTTTTTAAACGTAGAAGCAATAGGAAATAAGACAGTTTACTTCTAGCCCGTGTTTCCTGCAGGGCTTCTTGGCTTTGCCTTCCGGTTAGACAAGAATATTCGGAGCATAATCTTGTTGCTCTGTCCTCTTACTGCTGTTTATTTGTGTACTGGTTATATAAAGCTCTGGGCTTGAATCTGTTCTCCCCTTGCCCAAATATTCTTTGCAGATGTAGGTTGGGAATGTGCACACAGAAAAACCTCTTGTGCACATCCTGTTTTCGAATTGTGTTATTTCCTTTAGTGTTGCGCTCCTGCGGAGAATGTGGTTCCAAGGATCTCCTGTGTGTCTGACCAAGATGGTGACTGCTAAGGGTAGAAGTGCACAAATGGTGTAAGAGTTTAAACAAGGATGTTCAGCTGGCAAGGTTGTTTTAAGTAATGGATGGACTTGTAGTTTTCTGCATAGTATTTTATATACTACAGATATCTAAGTAGTGTAAATTGTGGTTCAGGGTTTGGGTATTTTTGTTGTCGGTAGTGGTTTTTTGTTTGTTTGTTTTTTCTTAGGGTACATATTAAGAAAAAGGTAATCTGGTAGTAGTTTGAATGTTCACGCTGTCATTATGGAATAGTGTAGCCACCGATGAACTTGCACAAATACCGAAAGCAGCAGCCTGGGACAGGAATATAAACTTCTCTCTTCCTACTACTTTATTTATTTCAAATGTGCAGATTGCTGAGGTAAGCAAGCCTGCAAAGTTGAGATGGATTAACCGTAAAGTAAGCGTTAACTACTGTGAAAACAAGCCACCTTCTATTGCCAAGCACTTCTGAGTGGCCTGTTGCTGGTCACTCGCTGAAAGGTGACATAATTTGCAATTCTAATAGTGTAACAGCTTTTTCCTGTCATGCTGAAATACTTCTGAGGGTATGCTCACTGGAAATACATTCATATGATTTTGCTTATGGGTTTAATATAAAAGCAGAATGGTAGATGGAATTCTACTTTTATTACCAAAACAGGAGCTTTTAGAATGGATCAAAGGAGTTTTACTAGGATGATGATGGATTTTAACCTCTAACTCTCTATCAGTGGTCTTTGGTATTAAATTGCTAATACAAGGTACTGATTAGGATCTTCCCATTCAGTGAAATCATACTGCTTTGTCTTCTTTTGTAGGCTTCTGGGAAACAACCTCTTCAGCTAATGTAGTTACGGTGTTGATAAAAAGTAAAATATGCCTTCATCTATGTAAAAAAACCGTATGAGCACAGAAGCTTTCCTCGTCCTTTGAGTGCTCTAAAACAATAAGAATAATTTTTGCTACAGGTACAGAGAATTTAACCACAATACTGCAGTGGGTTTCATCATTACATCCATAACACATACAACATCCAACATACACATACATGGTGTTTGTAACTAATTTCTAATACTGGACCTAGAAATTGCATATCACACAGAAACCATGATATATCCTAGTTTTTTTTGAGGTATGCAAAAATATGCATAGTAATTTTTTATTTTAGCAGTGTTTGAGGCTGAACATAATGAAATGGCAAATTTATAGCATGTAGGTTTTTGTTTCATTTTATTAATTGATTTTCGTATTAGAATTCTTCCCCAATTCTCCTATTGTGAGAATATTTTGCATCATTATACGGAAGAAATGGTTCTAATGTTTGTTTTGTCATATAACGAATAAATTTTGGTTTGGAAAATTCCTCTCCCTAATTCCTGTCTTTAAAGTCTTTGTTATGATTCTAATTAGTAGGTATTAGCATATGTATCAAAATGCAGAATGTGCAAGTACTACTTGGAAAGCTAAATGCTAGGTTTAGCTCATTTTGTATCATTGAGATTTATTTTGAACAAAACACTAGCACACTGAAGTATGAAAAGTATAAAATTATGGCATAAAATCAACATCAATAAAAATGTCTTATGTACACGGCTTTTCCCTCTCCTAGTATCCATGCAGCTGGGCAGAAAAAGAGCAGTCTAACAAATGTGTTGCTGCTCCTCATGACTGAGGCTGGAGGAGGTAAATGTGGAATTCTCAAATGTGGAGTTGAAAATGTAAAACCATTAAATTGCTTTTATAGCATTGAGAAGCAGGAAATAGGGTGGATCACTTTGAGGAGGAGGAGAATTTTCCCCTTCGGACAAAACAAGCATATATTTGTTTTCTCGGTTGCAATAATGTGCCATCCAGCGTAAGTGTTGGTACCACTAGGTCTGTAATAGCCACAGCCACGGGCTGGAAGAGCCTCAGCCCATGAGCTCTGGCTACACCAGGAGTTGTGCCCAATCACTTCTACTGTGATTCTTCCTCTGTTTTGAGAACCGTCTCTTCCGTAAAAGGTGAGAAAAGAGGTGAGAAGAGCTGTAGAACTTCCTAATTTTTTTTTTGACTTGGCATAAGTATCTCATTTGGTATCCTGTTCTGCTCACTACACGTTGCAGTATTTCCAAATATATATACTTTACTTTCCCTCCAGAAGAGAGAAAAAACCTGAAACAACTGAAATGGAAGCAATGACTGAAGAATGTGTAAAGGCAACCTTGAGGATTTTCTGTGTAAAAAACTTTAAATATACATTTACAAGGAGGAACAGGTCTTTATAAAAGCACTACAGTATCCTGTAACAAAAAGCTTATCACACAAAGACTATGTATTTTATGCCATTTTGGGCCAATGGGACTGCTGTGAGAAGTGCCCTCTTCTCACTGCTTGAGCTGTTTATTCCCTTCTCTTTGCCAACTCAAGTGCTTGAGTGCTTAGGAATTGGATTCCGCTAGTGATACAGGCTAAAACTAATGGAAAGAAAACAGCATTTAGGTTCAGCTGGGATCAATTCCTTATCCAATTCACTGTACTGCTGCACAAGTACCTCTGCACAGGGAGAGGCACAGAGGGAAAACTGAGAGACCAGAGTGATGGAGGGGGGAGCGTGATCAACTCTAGTGGTGGCAGTGACAGTTTGCTGGCTTGATGTATTTGTGGAGCTGGTTATGTACTAGTTTGGAAACTAGTTATGTACTAGACAAGATGAAACTTTTTTTCCTATAAAACAGGCTAAAATAATCCACTTTAATTTAAGAAATATGTCCTCTGATAAAATAAATAATTGTTCAAATGTCTATGAAGTTGTTGTTCTCATTTGCTGCGAGTGTGAATCCAGTAATGTCACTATGACAGAATATGCTTCTGTTTGGTGGGGGAAAAGTAACTTCAAATCTGATATCGAAGTGTTGTCAGTTAGGATGGCAAAGTCAAGCTGCCTCGGTAAGCAGAGGAATAGAGGAGCCAGGGCAACTGCAGAAGCAAGCTGTGTGTAGGCTTGCTGGGTATGCTGTTTAACTGCTGCAGATCTCATGAGGGTTTGTGGTGGTGGTTTGTAAAGACTGTTTGATTTTATGGGAGGTTATGCTAATTTGGTTGATATGCTTCAACAGATGCTTTAGCACGCTTTCCATTGTAGTCTTTACCTGAGGTTTACCCTTTCTAATGTGATTATCATTATTTGAAGAATAGTTTGTACATCAGCTTATTTTCTGCTAAAATTAGACTGTCTGTCTTTTATATGCAAGTTGCTTTGCTTCAGCAAGTGAAAGCAAATTGGACTCATTCTGTATCGTTTCTTTTGTGTTCTGTCACCCTCTATGGTAATAGCCAGTTAAAAGCTCAAATTTAAGGTATGTGTCTCTTTTGCTCATTGTTTCTGCTGACATAATACTCCATAATTGGGATGCCATGTATCCTGGGGACAGAATTGGATTCTTTCTGTGGATGGTCACATGTAATCTTTTGGTAAAGGACTGACTTAGATAAAACACATTGCCCATTGCTGGATGCAGCTGTTAGGTCTGAAATCCTGTTTGTTGAATAGATGATTACAGAAGAATAATGATAAATGTCCTCCCTCTCTTAGTGCCACAGATGACCAACTCCTGCTGGCCAGGAGACCAAAGGGAAGTTAGGAAGTGGGATATGCATCACATACTGTCTATTGCCACATGCTCCCAGCCAGCTGTTTTGTTATGTAAAAATCTAACGTGTACTTACAAATAAAAAAAAAAAAGCCTTTAATATGAAATGACATGAAGTTCTTGACTAAAATCAATTACAACGGAATGTTCTTAATTTGATATCTTTGCAAATTGTACTTTGTTTTGTGTTACTCACTGAAGATGACTAATTTTGTTCACCCTAAAGTTACCTAGCTGTTCAGAGTACATTCCTTGTGACTCAGTTCACGCTTAAAATTTCTGATTTTGTGCACTTTTCCGCAGTAATATTTGTGCTTCCAGGATGCAAGGGGCCATGTGTTAATACACTTGTTACAGGACCAAGCATGCTGTGCTCAGGCATAGTGCTTTAGAGGTCTCCAGAGTATTGTGAAATGCAGCCATGTAGGTTTATCAGGAGCAGCTGGTTTTGTTCTGTGGATGGATCCATTTGGGGGGAGGGGGGAGTGTGCTGGTGGCTTTTAGAGATTAGCTGGTGACAGTTTTGCTTGGGAAGTGTACCAAGTTTTAGCAGGGCTACTGTAAGAGAGATAGGAGCTGGAAAGGGACAGTGAAAAAACACAAGCTCTACTGATCTTTTTGTGTCAGAAGAAGCCTTCAGGATTTGGTTATCTGCATGTGGGTCTAACTGCAGCCTTGATTAGAGGAGTGTGTAATACTTCCTACTGAAATAAAGATCTGGCTGAGCTGTTGGACACACAAGGCCTAGATGAGGCATCAGAGCAGCTGTGTCCTTGTGCAGGCGAGAGGGAGGCTGTCCGGTTTATTGGATCTTGTCAGATCATGGCAGTGCATGCTTCTTAAATCCCTCGGGGTAGGGAGGGAGTGTCGAAGCAGGGGTGGCTTATTTTAGGTAAACAGATTTAGACAGCATTCCATTTTCTTGTTCCTTTCCCACTGAGAAATGCGGGAACATCTCATGGAAGGGTAACGTTTGGTCTTCAAAATGTTCTCGTCCAGCCTTGTGGTGTTTTGTGGGCAGGAGCTGCGTGGCAGGTACGAGCTGGGCAAGGGGCCTGCAGCAGCTCAGTTAGTTTTGGTACCTTTTGTTTAACTTCAGGAAGTGGTGGATGAGTGTTTGCTTTTAATGCTATTCCCACTCTCCTGCTTCTCCTCTCATTCTTTTTCCTAAGCTTATATTGATTCAGCATTGACAGTAAGCATTTGCTGAACTTACTGCTTCCTTTTGTATTAAAGTATAACTGTGATTTTTTCATAGTGAAAGAGCAGTGGAAGATTTTTGTGATTAATTCTTGGCTGTTGGAACTTCATGTATTTGGAGGAACTGAGAGGGGTTTTGTAGGATCTTCAGCATTCTTGTAGTCTGTAATAAAGTTATTGCTATGCTCAGGTCTTCTACCTATTTTTAATATATGAAGCAAATGCTTACTTAGCTCTCCAACTGAACAGAAGGGACCTGAGAATAATGCCTTTCAAACAAGTACCATATTCTGATTGATTATCCTTATCTTGGGCGGGACAACCTTGCTCCTGCATGTCAGAGTGTAGTTCTGTACCATCTCTTGCTGTGCTTAGAGAACTTCTGGGTACTACCCAGGAATGGATTCTTCTTTCTTGGAGAGGAAGGTCCCTTGTCTTTTGCAGCTTAGGACCAGCAGATATAGTACTGATTTGAGAAGTGGGAGAATGATAGATATATTTTGGGATTGTAAATTAGACATAAGAGACAAGTCAGTAAATAAAATCTCTTCAAAGGAAA